CTATGTGTTTCTTTTTCCCATAGAGATGAAATAAGTACAAACAACATAATTTTCAGTGGCATTAGTATTAGAAATGGCTTTTCCACTCCATTTGGCATGGGTATCTCAGCAAATACCATCGTTACACTAGTTCCTGTTGTCACATGCCTTATTGAGCACAGGCCCAAGTCTACTGACTGTATACTATATATTGTCAGTAGACTATATACCATCAGTTTTATAGCTATATACCATCCGATATACCATCGTTCCCTGGCCCAAGTCTACTCAGTCATGCTGTGCAGTCTAGGTTTCATGGATACGGATATTTTGGGGTTTCAGAATTTGGGGGATGTAAGTAAATGAAATGAGCCAATCATCTCAATAGGTTGATGAGAGGCCTTTCCTCTCATACCACCTCCCTGCCATCCTCCTCAGGCCCAGAAGTTTCTTTTTGGCTAAGTTCAACACAAACCCTCAATCTCAACCTATTAGTTTTCTGTCATTTAATCTTGTTTTCTTTGGGCCATGAGTAGCTTACTCTGGCACATATTTTCAATACAAGAGGTAATTCAAGATGCCTTCCTGCTATGACTCATGGCCCTTTCTATTCCACCTCCCTGATGGGTATCTAGTAGACTATCGCCCACAGACCCTGAAATTTAAGTGTGGTTCCACATAGCCCCTCAAATCACAATCCCTGTTTTTTCTCTTTTTCTAAGTCTTCTATATGACCATTAATAGTGATGGCTTAATCTCCACTGTTGCTACCCCTGATATGACCTCTGTTAGTTTTCTGTTTGGCACTTAATTTTTCTCTCTTTGGTTCATATTTTTTGCACTGGGGATATTTCAGGATATCTCCTAGAGAGAGCTCATGGCCCTTTCTGTTGGATACAGGGTGATTCTCTTATATAGTCATAAGAGACATTTTGACATCTTTACATCAATTTTTTTTCAAAATCATCTGCAATATTAAGAGCCACTCAGACCATTTCTTGATTGAGGGTCTTTGTAATCATATACTCCATGGACTGTATTATCTTCAGTTCCTCAGCAATTTTTCAGAATAATGGCCCAGTTTGTGAGCAACTTCTGTGCCTACACTAGACTTTTGGTGATCAAAGGTATAAAAAAAATATCAGTTCTTTTAAATCTTTGGTATATGTGGCAAAAATTAATTCTCCTTCCTCATAAATCATCTGAACAAGGTGCATGTATCTTTTTTTTATTTTTATTTTTTGAGAGGCTTTTGCTATAGGGTACATGTGCTCGCCAGAAAGACAGAGAGAGACGGAGAGACAGAAAGCAAGAAATCACCCCCCATGGTGGATGACCACGCCACAATCCCTTTTCCTCCACTCTACCTACTTTCAGGATCTTGGGCATGCACACACATGCACCCGGCATAAGTTTAAGCCACTGGGTCCAGGACTCCAACCGCGGTCGACTACATGGGAGTCCAGTGACATAGCTATTACGTCAACTGCTGGTCCCAAGGTACACATATCTTAACTTGAATCTAGATTTGGTTTCACTGATCAAAATGTGAATAAATCAAAATCACAGACTTCTTCCAGTTTCCAGGACAACGGGCTCAGGATAAATGTAAGGATAGCCAGGGAGGGTGTGAAGACAGGTAGCCAGGCCTGTGCACAGGGATAGTCCCCTGCTACCCTGTCTCCATTGCCACCGAGAGAGGGGTCAGGTCTCATGTCTTTCAAAAGTAGCTTTTCTTTTGAAGAGCTAAATATTCAGGGATCCTGAATATTATTATCACCTTTCTAGATGCTTATTTGACACAAAGCACCATGAGAGATACGAAGATGAATTTATAGAGCCACTGATGTCAAAGGCGCTTTCAACCCAGTTGGGATGGGACATACACCCATATGGACCCCATATGCACACAGAACAGCACCAGAAGGTGGCAAAGCATGGCACGCAGTTGGGAGTTGGAGAAAACAGATAATCATATACACTGCAGGATCTATTTGTTGACAAGGAGCCAAGCAGAACCATAATGACTTTAAAACTCTGGGATGTATGGGGGACCTAACTGTGAAAATGAAGAAAGTGCTTTTCCGCGGCCTGGCATCGGACTATTACTGCCGTTGACATTCTCTTTGAAGAGAAGGTCTGCCAAGCTGTCGGCAGTAAAGTAATTCAGGCTTACAATAGCACATTTAAATATTGGTTCTTTTAGTTAAGGAAACAGATTAGAGTTTTTAAAGGCCTCTTAGATCGCTTCAAATGAACACTGAAAGGTCCTATAATAATTTGACTATATCAAAATTAAACATGAATGTTCATCCAAGACACTGCAAAAAAAAGGGAAGATAAGCCAGAACACATGAGAAAATATGTGTGGCCTGAATAACTGTCAGAGAGCCTATGTCCAGAATACATAAAGGACTCTTACAAACCAGTAAATAAATAAATACATAAATAAATAAAAAGCAAACAACTTAATGAAAAATGAGCAAAAGGCTTAAATAGCTACTTCACAAAGAAGAAATCAAAGTGGTCAGTAATCATAAGAAAAGTTGTTGGGCCTCATGTGTGACCAAAGATATGAATAAAACAATGCTACAATAATCTACTATTAATCCCACTCCCCAGAATGGCAAAAATGATTATAGCAGTAACACATGAGGGTGAGAATGTGAGCATAGAACTTCAGTTCCTGCTGGTAAAAGATCAAAGAAGGGGGCCAGCAGATGGAGTGATGGTTATGTTGCTGGACTCCCACATGGCTGACCACAGTTCCAGTCCCAGACCCAGCGGCTTGAAACTCATACAGGGTGCATGTGCATGTAGGCCCAAAATCCTGAAAGGAGACTGGAGAAGGGACTGCAGCATGGCCATTCCCCCTGGGGGGTGATTTCTTGCTTTCTGTCTCTCTGGCAAGCACACATGCCCTATGGGAAAAATCGCTCTCTTTAAAAAAGTTTGAATTGGTACATTCATTTGGAAAACAGTTAAAATTATATATATACATACACACACATACAGAGTCATGCATTGTGTGAGGCTGTTGCGAAAGTCATGACATATCTTTCTAGGTTTTCTATGCAAAAATGGGTCATGACTCTCCTAAAGACCCAACATATACTAAATCGTAATGGACCACATATACAGTGATCCCATAAGATCATGCCACATAGCCTCCAACATCATATGTCCAATAATAAGAGAATGCATGAACATACTGGGGTGTGTTCATACAGTGGAATAGCATACAGTAATGTAAACAAACGTCAGTCACATGCAACACCTTGGGATCATATTACAAATAGCACTGATTGAAAGAAACAAGTCTCAACAGAGCATCAATGCATGGCACTACTATTTAAAGTTCAAAACTAGGCAAAACTAAACTGAATTGTTTAGAGAGGTAGTTAGATGATAATCTAAACAAGGGAGTAGACACCGAAATGTCAGGAGAGTGGTCATTCTTAGAGTGCACAGAGGGAGCTGTAAGTAGGAACGGGGGTGTGGGAGGCCTCCAGGATGCTGCTAGCAGTGTTTTTCTTCACCTGAGTCTTGGTGAATGGGTGACGTTTCTAATTATCTGTGACGTTAAATCTTTGTTTTATGTACACAAAAGTTAAACCACAAAGAAAATGATGAGAAACTGAATGTTAAATAATAAGAAAAACATCTTAGCAACAGGACACAGCATGGTGATTGCCAGGGGCTACCGGGAAGGTAGAAGCAGGCATCTGTCTTCAGTGGATGTGGAGTTTCAGTTTTGCAAGAGAAAAAAGATCCAGAGCTCTGCTGAGCAACAAGGTACATACAGTCAACACCACTGTGCTGTCCCCAGAATAATGGTTACACCAGCAGATCTCATGTGATGTGTTTTTGAAGATTAATAAAAAGAGAAATCCATCTTTACTGTTATAGATTCAAATGCGATTACTAGGAGAACTTTTCTAAGAAATACAAAAAATAAAATACAGCAAACATGGGCAAAAGACCTGAGCAACAACTCTGGAAAATGTTTCCAGCATGTATCCTAGAGAAAGTGTTGATACTTCTCAAATAGTGAAGAACATGAGACAAAGGATATGATAGGCGTGGATACACACATGCGTGCACGTGCACACACACACACACAAAGCATAAATAAATAGAGGAAAACATATCTTCATTAACACTCGATAAAGGCCAAAATAAAACATTCAACCCTAGTGTGATCACTGTTGATCTATTTCCTGGAAAGGTTAAAATAATAGATCCTACCAAGTGTTGGAGAGAGTCTGCTCACGCTCTGGTCTGAATGTGTGTCCCAGAATTTTGTATGTTGGGAGCTGATTACACTGTCAGTGTTGTGAAGTTCTAAGTGAAAACCTAATTCCTTCACAGTGGCCCAGAATCAGGTCTAGTG